ATAATTAATACAAATCAAAAGTAAAGAAAAAAATATTTTCTTGTTGCACTCAGTGAGTCTAACGAGACCATAGCTGTGGAAAAGACGACCGTTGGGTGACCTGACTTCAGACCACATTAGGGCACGTATAGCTTTCATTTGCAGAATCTGTTGTATTTTAAAGGTCCCATATTAGGCTTTTTCTGGTTTTATATGCTCTTTAGTGTGTTTTCCAAGTGTCCTGTGCATGTTTAGGCACATCTATGTGCAAAAATTCAAAGTCTGCGGAAACGCGGCTTCTCCTACCTCCTCCTGTTAGCTGTAGCATTAGCTGCATGTAACGCTCGGTTCTAGCCCCCTCGATAAAAATTTGTCAGTGTGACGTCTTGTCAGTGTGAGATCACTGATCTAAGCCCATTGGCACGTTGTGGCAAGTCCAGCAGCTCATGTTGAAATTTCCAAGAAGCGTGCTGAGCAACTGACCAATAATAACAGAGCGGATCGGCAGACCAATCAGAGCAGACTTGGCCCATGTGGGGTCTAACAGTGTGGGCTCAGCAGAGTGCAGCTGACGGACTCAGAGCATAGAGGGAGCAAGGAGGAGCAGTACATGAAAACAGACACTTTTTTCAAACTTTAGCTTTTGTGAACATACAAAAGTAGGTACATAGATTAAATATACGAACCCCAAAAAGGGCATAATATGGGCTCTTTAACATAACATGCAATAACATAAAACGTGCTGAAAATACAAAAACAAAAATACAACAAGAATGACACATATACATGAAACGACAGCGAAAGTAAAACTGTGCAGCGGTCCAGGCCTGGTGCTCAGTGGATCAGTTCCTTATAGAGAGGGGAGTGAAGGAGGCCAGGCTCTGAAGTCACACCGAGTCACAATAGATGGCTTTGTTTCTGAATGTGCAGCACGTTCTTGTAAATCATTAGGCCTTTCATTTCACACATTAGCGCTGGCCTTTTCCAGATAGTTTCAGGACATTCAGGACCTTTCACACATGCACCTCACAGGGAAAGATGGAGCCGGATGCCCTCCCACTACTGGAAATAAAACTCTGTTGAGGTGAGGAGGCGGGCCACATTGTGGAGCCTGCAGGAGAGAAGAGGAGTAAGGTGAGTGGATTGTAATGGTGACCGTTTTGGGTAAGTATCATAACATCATTTCTATGGATGTTTTAATCACTCATCAGTAGGAAACGTAATAAGGCAATATGATCAAATAAAGCAGAGAAATGTCACCACTCCACGTGAATGTTTCAGACGTAACTGCTTTGTTCAGGCATCTGCTTGACCCACGACTTGTCACAGTAAGTGTAGGGTCAGCTGCAGAAAGAGTCAGCTTGGAGTCGTCGGGGTTACAGATTAAGACAGCTGCACTTTCTGAATTGTGGTGCATATTAAAAAGGGGCTGAAGTTTGAAGTACATTATTCAGAACAAGAACCTCATCCTGACCCTTCAGCAGCACCAGAACCAGGAGCTCCTTGTGCCTTTTCGCCTGCTGAGACCGATGTGTCTCAACCCACATAGACTCCATCTATAATACATAAACCAAGCCACTTCTTCCCCAGCCTGCTGCGCCAAGAAAAGAAGAACACAACATGAACTCTTGTTAGTTTTTCTTTGTGTTGCTCCTCTTTTTTTTTAATACAAGACGACAACAAAGACCTCCTCTGATTGTCCGTCCTCCTGCAGCTTCTCTGATTCTGTGTGTGTGTGTGTGTGTGTGTCAATCCACGCCTTCAAGACGGACTGTCATACATTTTGGAGTCAATCTGTGTGTGCATTCTTCTGCATGTTTATGTGTGTGTATGCGTGTGTGTGTGTGTGTGTGTGTGTGTGTGTGTGTGTGTGTGTGTGTGTGTGTGTGTGTGTGTGTGTGTGTGTGTGTGTGTGTGTGTGTGTGTGTGTGTGTGTGTGTGTGTGTGTGTGTGTGTGCCTTACGCTCCGTGCAGGGTGCGTGGGCGGGGTTTGTGAGTTTGACAGGCATATTTTATCTACTTACACGACAGCCCCATTAAAGATTAACAGTGAAAAAAATATGAAGCACTAATGGAGGGACATGGTGTTCTCATCAGAAAGTTACAGCTGTCATCACTAATGCTGCCAGTGGCTAACCACACACACACACACACACACACACACACACACACACACACACACACACACACACACACACACACACACACACACACACACACACACACACCCCTACAGTAACAGTGTCCTGAGTGTGCTGACAGATGGTGAAACAGAAAAGGAGCAGGGTTAGAGGTTTAAATTCTGTCCAGTCGTGTTAGTAAAACCCGTCCAGCTGCCCTCCATCATCTGTGGCGCACAGCGGCCCACAATGAATCTCTCACCAAACTTTCCCCACACTCAGTCTGAGTTCAGCCCAGAATAGAAAGTGTGAATCTTTTATCATGTTCCTTTTTATCTAACTATGTAGGTTATTTCTCTGTTTCAATTACTGACAGAAAAACATCGTCATGTGTGCTTAAATATTTATCTCAACTGGCCTATTTTTCACCAACATATTGTTAACAGTTTGTGTCATAAAGAGACAGAGAGGCATGTTTTTATCTTCAGCCATCAAATCTCAGGACACTGTGATAACCAGCCAGGAGTAACAGGGCCGGGTTTAAATAATGTGGGGCCCGGGGGCCAGAGAAGACTCGGTCTGGAGTTTCCTTCACTCTGTGTTGTTGTTCTGTGTTTAGTATATTAACTTACAGCCACAGAAAGCCAAACTGAGGACAGGTTTCTTACAATGAGATCCATCACCTGGTTAGCTGTGTCAGGTAGTTTCTGAGCATTCAAATATATTTGTTGTTTACTTGTTTTGGTGATTAAAACCTTTCCATTAAGCCGTTCATTTTGTGAAACTTTGTGAATGAGTCATCTTTATATAAAGTCTGTGAACATTTCTTTGACATTTCTTTTATGTAAGGAAGAATGTGTGACTTTTTGATCCAGTAGATGTCGCCCTTGAGCTCCAGCATGAAACCAAAACAAACTGCTGTCTGACACACCTCCAACCCCCCTCCTCAACCGCGTTTGCACGAAGGAGTTATGAATTAGAACGCACAATAATTAAGCAACATTAAGAGCAAGTGGTGGACAAAATGGTCATGTAAACACGGCTCTGACAACAACACAGCCAACGGGACTCGAGCTTCTCACTCATTGTAGACAGTCATGACTCAGAGACACATTTACACAGGATAGACTGGATTTAGCTTTGAGAGGAGACAACAGTCAATAAATAAATACATTTAAAAAAAGAATTCACTGTAAAAGTTTATTTTGACAAAATGAAACAACAGGAGAATACATCATGTACATCATGTACGGACGGCAGACTGTCCACAGTGTGTTTCACACCTCCAAAAATACGATATACAAAACAGTGAAGCTGGACGGTATTCTGATTTCATCCCCCTCCAAGGATGTCAAAGGTAAATATTTGGTACAAAAAGAAAGAGTTACAGAACAAAGAATAACGTAGAGATTTTAGATTCAAGCCTTCTGAGCAGCCTATCGAACACAGCTGGAAGATTTTACTGAAACCATGGAGACTCAGAGATCCACTGAGAAGAAGTCCTGATCCACTGGACGTGTTGTGGTGAGGTCGTCTCCAGAACCAGAGCAGAACTAGAATGACTGTTGGATGAAGATAAAAGTGTGAGCAGAAGCCTGAACTACCAAGCTGCAAACTCGACACCTTACCTGCTCCTGAACAGGTTATGTTTGAGATAGAAGCTGAACGCCTACTGGCCAATCAGATCTCTTTATCAAGGAGCCCTGACAGCTGATTGTAGGTGAGGAGGAGTGAGAGAGGCCTGTATGATTTTTAATATAAAATATGATCCTGAAAGACATTAAAGATGCGTTCATCAAATGAAGTGTACTTTTCTTTCAGTGAGGTTTGCTTATTCATTTTAAAAGCCCCATTGCTCTCTGCCGAGCCGCAGCTGAAATACATTACATCTCATACTGTCAGTTACACCACATGTGAGAACTCATGTTTTTTTAAACGTGAGTTTTTAGGTTTTATGTATTTATTGGAAAGACAGGACAGTGGATAGTGAACACATCCACACTTACTGTGGATCCCTCTGACCTAAGCTTTTTAGTCCCCATAAAAACAGTGCTGCTGCCTTCAGGTGCTCCAGCGGGATGGCATGGGCCCCTCTAGAAATCTGATTGGCCACCACCAAAAAATCCTCAACTGTGATTGGCTATTTGCCCTGTCAAAGGCAGGACTTATGTTAAAACCAACAATGATGTCTCTTTTGCAGAACACTGCTAGTTTTCTCTACATATCAACGTGCACATTTATTTGTTGTTTGTCCACAACATTTTAAATAAATACTCTGCACAACTGGTAAGTACGTTGTTTCCAAGGAGCACCTGAAGGCAGCATATGAGAACATCTAACATCTGACCTGTTTTTGTTACTGTTAACATTTAACTGAGTTTAGAGTCTGACATATGAATGTAGAGTCACTGTTCACCCTCACACACGTCTGGTTCTGGTTCTGGCTCCAACAGCTCCTCGCTCTTTGATACCAAATGTTTGTCTTCACCTAGTTGTAACTGTGTCTGTTTTTATTAATCATTATTTAGAGACTCTTCAATATTTGGCACAAATTAAACATTATAAATTCTTGAGTTTTGGTGACTTGACCTGCTGACAGCTCTGCTTTAAAGACTCCCTCTGAAGCAAATCCTCAACGACCACTCTTCATTTTACAATTGTCTCTATGATATCTGAATTTATATGTTGTTAAAATAAAAATACTGGAAGATGAAAGAATCATAAAACTTTGTGTGCATCCAGTAAAACTGCGTTGAACCACGTTTCTGACACAACATACACTTAATCAATAGCTAAAGTTCCAGAAATGAAGCCATGAATATACATATTTCTCTTTGTGTACAGCACAAAACAAAAACCTGAATCAACAGAAAGAATCAGTGCATTTTGCACGAGTTGTCCTTTTTTTTTTTTACTCTGTGTCCCGAAGAAGGCGATTATTTTTTATTTTTATTTTTTAAACCGAACAGCTCCTCTGGAATGGTTCTTTGTACAAGACAGCAAGAAAGACAAAAAGCAATCATGTGAGAGTCATTCGCCCCCTCAGGCGTCCACAGTTCAGCGTGAAGGGCAGCAGAAGGGCACTTAGTCAAAAAAAAAAAAAAAAAAAAAAAGTCTTTGCCACACACTTCACTGGAAATCTGCAGAAGCAAACGTGTGTGTGGTCCACCCAGGAAATTACAGAGCGGGCTCCAGTTACAAACACTTCCCTCCGGTCAGTAGAGCCACAGGAAACACTCTGCAGAACACTTATTTGGTCACCAAGGAGAGATTAAAGCAAAGCCTGAAGGTAGCAAAACTCCAACTCCCGATACAAAAAACACACAAAACTTGATTCAAAACTGCAGTTAGGCCTGACATGAGTCTGTAGGGGGGAGCTGAAGATCATTGTCCTCCATCTTTCTGTGCTGGTTGATTCACATTTCTACCTTCACTTGTTCCCATTTTGGAAAAGACTTTGAAAGAGAAGTCTTCAAATGATGACCTAAACCCAAATGGAGCAGAAACATTTGATAGAAGACAAAACAGGTGAAATGTGTTCAAGGTGCTGGACTCCCTTAAAAACAAGCCTTCATGCTGAGGTGGGACCGTTAGCTCTGGGTGTCACAGGTCGCTGTGTGTCTGATGTGCGTTACTCTTTGATTTAACCCTCAGCAGGAGATGATTTTGTGTCTGTGGCCGTCAGGGTCAGGGGTCGTTATAAAGTAATTCATTAGAGTATAGATCATTGTTGACGTCTCTCCTACATCTTGTCAGGTAGCTGTGTACCAGGTAAACCTCCGGTTGTGTGTAGATAGCTAACTCAACTAGCGAGAAGAGAGGACGACATTTACTTTGGGGAATTCTCCCTGTTGTGAATATTATTAAAAACAACATGGTGGTCAATTTATGAGTCTGTGTTGTATTGTTTTCATTCAATCAGCTGAGTCTGTGTGTTCAGATTGTTAAATATATCAATCAATCAATCTTTATTTTTATAGCGTCAACTCATAACAAGTGTTATCTCGAGACACTTTACAAAAAGCAGGTAAAAGACCTTACTTATTGTTATGTTACAAAGATCTTTAAAGTTTAGTGAGTCTGTTAGTCCTGTTCTGTCTGCAGATTTACAGATTATGGGCCTGAAACATTCAAAGGTGCAGGAGGCTACACAGCGTCCGGACAAAACAACCCGACGCTAAAGATGCAAAAAAAGGTTTGAATTGTCGGTAACATAAACATGTTACTTTCCTCTGTAATGCAGCAACATAATTTAACAGTGTTGACCATCTGTTCGTGAAACTTGACTGCTAGCTAACAGCTGACTGTCTGCAGAATATAAAGTGACTCTAACCAGTACTCTGTCTGACATACTGAAGGTTGGACTGTGAGTATTTTAACACCTGCCCGCTGTGTTCTGACACCACTAGAGGTACGCCTCACTGTTATGACCACCTTTACAAAAGCTGACCAAACTGCAACAGGTTGATGGTGCAGGCTAAAAGGATCCATGAATGTCGACGACACAGCGACACACATCTGTGACATCCTCCACAGTGCATCCTGACTGTGTTTTCAGGGATTCCTCACTTTGGACACTGTACACTGCTTCATTCTGTGTTTTTAAGCATCCACCTGGGTCTAACACAAACCGGTAAAGAGACTCAGGACCCAAAGCCATACAAGATCCCAGATCCTGTCCTGATTCACTGAGTCCATGTGGACACATGAAGACCTCTAACCGGTAAGCTTCTCTCATCCTTGTGCTGCGAGGGCGAGGGCCCTTGATCCTCCTATTGAAACAAATGAAATGAACCAGCACATCCCCCTGCTTCATCGTGTGTTGTCTGTGTTTTGTCTTAAAGCTGCTCAGCACCGTTCAGTAACGTGTGTGTGTGTGCTCGGCCCTGCAGTGATTCCGTCTCTGACGTGGAGGTGTGTGTGTGTGTGTGTGTGTTAGGAGAAGTCACTGTCCTCGGCCCCGTATAGATCAGCTAGTTTCCTGAACCTGGGCCCCCATTCACTCAGGTAGTGGTAGTCCTGCTCGGCTTCAGACGACACCGTCCCCAAGGAGCTCAGCGACTCCGCCACTGATCCCGCCCCCTCGTAGGCGTAGGTCGCCAGCGAGTCGTAAGGCGGCGCCGTCGGGTTACAGTCATTCTCCAGCACCCTCTGATTGATGAACTCTCGCACGTCCCCGTTGTCGCGCGTCGCCACGCTGACTGGCGGCATTATGAGGCTGCAGGCGGCGGGGGCGGGCCGGCGGTGCGGCGGGTACAGCAGGGTGTCAGAGGGGATGATGTCACGCCTCTGTTTGGCGGATTCCTCCAAGGCGGCGGCGGTGTCTGGGTGACGCAGGGCTCCGATGTCGAACGCCTGGGTGTCCTCCTCGCCGCCGCCCTCGTCGTTGTAGCTCACCACGTTGTCCCGGACGTCCTCCTTGGAGATGATGAGCGGTTCCTGCTTCCTCTGGCGCTTCAGAGCCGTGAACAGCACCACAATCACTGCAAGAGACGACAGCACAGAGACATGGCGTCAGACATTTAACAGCAAGCAACAAAGAGAGGTGATGAAGAGGTCAAAGGGCAGCCCATGTTGACGGTCCCATTATATTCACTCTGTTTGTTTAATGGTTTTAATGGAATTGAACACAAGTTAATGGCTCTCTGCCAGACACTGTCAGCTCAGTCAGATGATTTTAATTACAGCTGTGGAACATAAGCATGCTCTCGGGCTCCAGTACCTCACAAAGACTGTCAATAACATTGGTAACTCATTCAGAGGAGAGAGAAGCCAAGAAAACCGATTCTCTGTCAAACACAGAGTAGTGATAAGTGGTCACCTGTTGTAGGTGTCTCCTGCATCCTCTCTCCCTCTTGAGTAGCTTTAATTGGTTATGTATACCAACTCATTGTTGATGGAGCCACATGTATCGACCCATCCATTATCTATACCTGTAACTCCACAGAAAGGGAACCCGTCCGGCCGGGAGTCCAATCAGATCCCTTCTTAAGCACTAACCACTGCACCACCTCACAGCCTTGATCTGGAGACACAGGTTCTTTAAGTGACTCTCTTGGAATTGATTACAACTCTTCAATTCATTTAGCAGACACTTTTTAGAGAGTAAGAACAACACCAGCAAGGATCTAGAGAGGAGGAGACAACGTCAGGAAGTGCAAACGATCAACTTTGAGTCCGACCAGACACACAGGTGCTGACAGGAAGTGACCACAAGTGCTGACAGGATTGAGAACATTGATGGCTGTTCTTGAAAGCTCTAATCAGTATAGAAACCATCTTAAATTGTTGTAATTAAACAAAAACCATCATCATCAATAATATCAAAACCACTATGTAAACCTAGAACATGTTCATAGGTATGAACATGAAGTATGACTTCATTATTCCCTCAAAAAGGTAGACAGCAGCTCAGCACGATGGTTGATTTTAAAATCCAGACCAACTTATGAGAACATAAGGGACTTCTTCTTTTAGTGTTGACATCTTCTGGTTGGATGATTGTGAAGAACTTGAGTTGTGTGTGTTTAGAGGGACCTTTATTGTAGCAGATTTTATCTTCAAAGCCAATCAGAAGATTGAGCTGTTTAAGGAGCATGTGACTGTTGAACGGCTGGAACTGTATTTCTGGTGTCGTATAAACGCATGAGGGTTGGGCACTTTGTGTACAGGACACTTCAGTAAAACACAGTCAGTCAGTCGGTCACTGAGGTGGGGATTGTACGACGTGTGAGAGAGTAGATTCAGGCGAGCGTATGGCAGACATGGCAGAAAAAGAGGGAGCAGAGTACTCTAAGCTTTAGTGCATCTAAAAGGTGAATTAGATGTGCGTCGAAGTGTGAAGAATAAACTTAAAGGGTGTAGCAGCTGATTCATGTTGTGTAAAAACATTTTCTACTGTAAAGACGAAGAAGTGAAGATATAAATCAGATCTCTGCTTTTACAAAGTTTGCATGGTTTACAGACTGAGGGGAATGTTAGTTGGAGGACAGAGAGGAGCCTTTGATTTCAGAGTGGACTCATCCATAAGAAATCATGCAGAACATTTGATTGGCTAAGCTCATGCAGGCCAGTTTGCATTTAAATCAAGAAGGAGCACAGTGGCAACAAGAAAGAGCAGAGGTGGAGCCGGGGTCACTGAACTGAGAGGAGCGATAATGGGAACACAGTAACACTGCAAATCAGAGCAAGAAAATGTCTGCAGAAGTAGGGGGAGAACATCAGATCATTACAGCTAGAGGGAGAGAGAGGCAAACATGTCGGGTGGAGGAGAGTCGAGGAGAGGCGGAGCAGGAATCCAATCATCATGTGATGGTTAACACAACACATTCATATGCATATCAGCTTGATTTAAATACTACAGCTGAAGGCTTTGTGATTATCATGTTCAGTGTAATTCATCTGATTTCTCTGCTGAACCAGAACAAGCTTCAGTGTATGCTCCTCTTTCTTTGTATGGAGACATGTGAAACTATAAGTTAGTTGTGATTTCACACTGTGTTGGAGTGTGATCACACCCACAGTGTTGTTTATGTCTGAGTATGTTGGTTAAAAAGTTTTCTCTCAGATATAACAGATTTTATACCAGTGGGTAGTATTTGAGGGTTCTTCACAGGAAACTGGAATGAACACCAGGGAGGGGAAGTCACTGCAAAGAGTGCAGATGGGTACACTAAACGTATCTTTAGTGTTTCTGTTATTCCAACCACGTCTTCACTAAACGTGCTATCAGGGAGATACAACATGGAGAAGCCATAGACTGTCTGCACACTTGTTATGAATTATGATTGATTGATTGAACACTCTGGATGAATAGAGTTTCAGATTTGAGCCAGCAGCAAGGACATAAAACCCTTTACAAGACGTGGGCTCTAATAAAACAAACCAGCACACACTGACAGGGAACTTACTGATATGGCTGGGTTAGTGTTAACTCTCTGTTTATGATTGAATTAACTGTTAGGCCTGTGTGAGAACAATGTAACACTATCAGTGCTGCGGCGGTATTTTGACATCTACTCCTAATTGGTGCATTTCTTTTGTTCAGCTTCCTTTGTATCTGAGTAAGACGGTCATGAGCTGTGACTACAGCTTCATCTAAAGAATCTGTGAAACTAGGACACTCCTTTAAATGATACATTTCTCTAAATACACGATTACGATCACAACATTCGTTTCTCCACTGTGTCATCGCTGCAACCATTTTGGCACACTAGCTCGGTGGTGAGGTTTGTTTGCTAAACTGAAGAATAATATCTCTGAATATTTCTGTTGAAAAATACTGCAGAAGCCATGAATGTGCGGCAGCATTTAGTAAGCAGAGTTTCTCTCTGCACACCCAGTGTCCCTGGTGTGTGTCAGCTAAGTCTGCAATGACTGCACTTTCACGGCCATAAATATGTATTCATTTTCCCCGCCGCCCACTGGACTGTGACCGCTGCCTGAATAAGAGGATAAGTGGGGATGTGGCGACAGATGAGATGCATTCATTTCCATACAGGCTCTGATTGTGACAAGCAGAGGCAGAGTTTCTGAACCAACAGTGTTTGACTTTACAGAAAACTAGACAGCATCATTACACAAGGCACACACCATTCAGGTTATCATCACACTCCTGTTATTATCATTCACTCAGCTCCAATAACCGCCACTCAGAGGACCTTTCCACATGTTTTAACATACAATGTTAATATGTTAACATACAGTCCATCTACAAATTAGTGATGGTTTGGGCATGCGCCCCCTCCAGACAAAAAACATGTTAAACCTAAATGATAGACATGAAGCTTGTATATTTATTTTCTAGTCTTCTGACTACTCAAAGCACTTTAACACCGCAGGTCACACCTACACATTCACACACTGATGGTAGAGGCTGCTGTGTAAAGAGTCCATCAGTATTAACTCATCCATTCATACACATTCACACACTGATGGTAGAGGCTGCTGTGTAAAGAGTCCATCAGTATTAACTCATCCATTCACACACTGATGGTAGAGGCTGCTGTGTAAAGAGCCCATCAGTATTAACTCATCCATTCATACACCACCAAGGAAGCAGCAGGAGCAACTTGGGGTTCAGTGTCTTGCCCAAGGACACATCAGACATGTTGCTTCAGGAGCTAGGGATTGAACCCCTGACCTTCCGATTGAGAGAAGACTGACTCTACCACTGAGCCACAGCCGCTCCAAAGATCACAAGTCCAATAAGCATGGTAGTCCTTCAGCATTCAGTAAAAATGGTTCCCTCTTCCAATCGAACAAGCTCACAAACTGAGATGTGCGTTAGGTATTATTATGAAGCTTTCAAAAAATAATTGGTTATTTTTCATGTATGATATTAAATTAATTAGGGAGCACATACATGACTGTAGCTCAGTGGGAGCGGGAGAGTCGGAAGTCTCTCAACCAAAAACGTTGGTAGTTCATTACCCAGCTTCTGCAGCAACATGTCAAAGTTTCCTCAGTGAAGAAACTGAACCCCGAAATGTTACGCTACACGGGCAGCGTGTGAATGGATTAGTGCTGGGTAGTTTAGCACTTTACAGAGTCTGCCACCAGTGTGTGAATGTGACATGTAGTAACGCCATGTACCACAGCATGTCTGATGTAGTACTGTAGTGTTTAATAATCATGATTCACTCACTGAGCAGAATGATGGCACACAGCAGGATGGCGATGAGAGCTCCAGTGCTGAGTCCAGGAGCGCTGCTCAGAGCCTCGGCGTTGCACACTTCCATGTTGCCTTCACGGTCACAGGTGCACACTCGCACGGTCAGGGTACCCGTGCTGCTCTGCATGGGGTAGTCTCCATCAGTGATCACCACAGGGACCAGGTAGACGCTCTGGTGGAGGCGGCTGTAGCTGCCTCTGCGTGTTAGGATGCCGGCTGTGTTATCTAGGCGGAGAAAGGTCAGTTAGAGTTTCATCTTAATTTATAATCCCATTAGGAGTCAAACAGACAACAAAGTCACAGTGCAGAAAAAAAGACCTCCAATAACTTTATTACGACCAACACTGCTGAACCAGGACAACACCTGCAAAATGTTTTTCATTCAAATTCAAGAGTTATATATCGAACAAGTTTTTGTTCTTAATATTGGTTGCCGACCAATGAGAGCTCTTGTACTATCGGGATTTCCTGCATGGGTGAGGCCTTATTCAATAGACTGGGACCAAACAGAGATACCATACATGTGATTCATTAAAAAACTATATAAAGAGACTAAATAGTTGTTACAATAAGAAAACAACATTAATACATTTCCTGTTAGAATCAACGAGCTGTTCAGGTCTTGGTAGGTCAAGCACAATGGCAATGTTTTTTTTTTTTTTCTGGTTTTGATGCTAAACTAAGCTAACCCACTGTAATCCAAAGTTTACACATCTTTCTTCTTAAATTGCTCTTTGCCAGAAGTAAATGTTAAATGGACTTGAGCTTATATAGCACTTTTCTAGTCTTCCGACAACTCAAAGCGCTTTTAAACCACATGTCACACCCACCCATTCACACACTGATGGTAGTGATCGCTATGTAGTATCATCCATCAGAAGTAACTAATCCCATTCATACACCACCACTGAAGCAGCAGGAGCAACTTGGGGTTAAATGTCTTGCCCAAGGACACATCGGACCTCGACCTTCCAGTTGAGAGGTGACGACTCTACTAACTGAGACACAGCCGCCCCCAGAAGAAGTCCCAGTAGACTGTCTTTAATATGGACTTAAAGCAACAATATGTAGCTTTTCCACCTTAAAAAGTCGATCTCATGGTAAAATGACGTCCACAGAGGAAGAGGACGGATGAAGCTTAGAAGAGAAAAAGAGAGTGTGACCGAGCAAGAAGCCGGACTAGAGGAAACACCAGCATCTACACGTTTGTTTTTACGACTGTGCAGTTACTCAGAGACCCTCCATGAGCACCACAGTGCAGCAAACCTTATTCCTCCATAATGTAACTAAAAGTTGAACTATACACTTTGTACCAATCATATCAATATAAGATAGATCATGAGTGTCAGAGTTTATGAAATGACATTAACGCTGTTATGTGGGGTAAACAGAGGGGTTACAGGTGTTCGGCAGACGCCAGGCCTGGCTTTTCCACCATTTTTATATTTGCATTAATTTCTGTTAAAGATAAAGATGCAATAAGTCAAATAATCTACAGACATCTGTTTGCGTCCGCCTGTGCAAGTGAAGCTTACCTCCGTTGTCTCGGACGGTGAAGTTGCTGCGCTGCGTCCCCTCAGGAGCCAGGCTGAAGAAGAACTTGTGTCCCGATGAAGGCTCATCTGCATCCACTGCACTCACTGTCTGGATCCTCTGTGAGACACGCACACACACGAACATCAACATCTTCAATCAATGACACACACACACAGTAAATGATAAATGGACTTGAGCTTGTAAAGTGCTTTTCTAGTCTTCTGACTACTCAAAGCGTTTTTACACCACATGTCACACCTACACATTCACACACTGATGGTAGTGATGATCACTATGTAATATCATCAATCAGAAGTAACTAATCCCATTCATACACCACCACTGAAGCAGTGGGAGCAATTCAGGATTAAGTGTCTTGCCCAAGGACACATTGGACATGTTGCCCAGCTGGGGATTGAACCCTCGATCTTCCGGTTGAGAGAAAGCTGCTCTACTTGAGCATGTCTGCACAGAGACAGGTAAGTCTGTGCACTGAACACAAACGTTTTGATGTTAAAAAGATTTGAAAGAAGTGGTGAAGTTTTTAGGAGAAGCAGCAGTGAGTGAATTTCAGTGAAAGGACAGGTGTCAAACAGACTCTGAACAAACAGAAATCTGAACAAACAGAAGAACAGAAAACTTTTGATTTAAGACAAAACTCAAGTTTAAGAGCTTCAGAGTAAATCCAAATGTTTGTATCACAAAGTGACCTGAACAGAAATAAATTATTTCCTCTACTTAAAGTATCTTTTGTTTGTTTGAACACGTCTTCAGCTTCTTCTGTTTCAATTCATAAAAACATACAAACTATCGTTAAGATGATTGCAGCCATGGAGCCAAAGTCAAGGTTCAAAACTCAAATGCTCAGAGTAAATCCATCGCATGTGAAACTTCTGTTTAATGTAATAGTTTGAAATGTCCTCATGCAAATGTTTCAGACATGAGATATACCTTCTGACTCATGTTTATGATATGTTTAAGGGATTGCATAAAGTCTTGAACAAAAAGTTGAAAAGTAATTATCAGAATGATCTCGAAAAAGTAATCAACAATGTTGAGCGATGAATTAAAAGACTAGTTTAAAGTTCTGATTAGTAGATTTCAGTGTTTGAATTGTTTTAGATTCTCCAAGGTAGTGTTACCTCAAAACTGAGCTTAATGTTACTCTTCTTTACACGCCTCGACTCATTTTAAAAAGTGATTATTTGAACCTGTAGATAAGTTTGTCAAAGACTTGGGATCATTTCTTTCTGTTAAAGTCATCCAGCATGTATTCAGGATGAGTTATTTAAAGCTCAGATGATGATGTTCTCTTCTGATAACACTGCTGTTAATCAACACGTTCCTCTCTGCTGTTGTTTTAAAACAGAAAGCTGTTTTAACACCACCACTGGCTGCAGGAAATGTTTTCATGGTGACATTTTGTGTTTCTTTTCTCTCACCTGACAAAACACTCTTGTAAAAAGGTCTGAGGATGGTGACAGTGTACACTCTAACAAGTGTTTGAATCACACGTGCGTGTTTATTAGTGTTTCAGACTCTGTGTTCATTTGTCACTATACCGTCGGTATCGACTGAAGTTCAGTGAACTCATGCCGAGCACAGCTTCTCTTTACTCCATGCTACAAACTTTAGCAGCTAACACTCAGATGTAGGACGGGGAGCTGCAACAACAATCTGCAAAAGTTCAACAGTGCAAGACGTCATGCAGAAATGACCTCAAAAGAAAAGTATATACAAATTAACATCTACTTCGGTTTCTGTCCATTCCTCCCTCTCTTTCAATACTAGCCGGTCAGATGTAGTCCATTAGTTGAAACCACTTCTACTTCTGTCTTTAGATGTCTCTCCAGCTCTTATGGTCTTGAACCTTTCTGTATATGCTGCGGAGCTTCTTGCATTTCTTCCAGCACTGCAGCCATCTTTTTGTGAAACAAGCTGGAACAGTTCTGCACAGCACTGTCCAGTTCCCCCTCTGCACCTCCTCTTCTCTAATTATACCCAGGAAGGTCTGCATCTCCCCGAGGTCGTCCATGGTGCAGTGCTATGCGCTGACATTCTTCTCAAACCCCCCCCCCCCAAGAAAAACAGCCTTCAAACTAGTCTCGATGAAATCCAGGGGACATTTAAACATAGTTTGTGTCCTTTATTACCCCTGTTGCACAGGAAGGGGTGATTCTTTTGACAGATATACGGCCTGCAGTGTGTGTAGCGCCGCCTTTAAGGGGTTGGATCAGTACGCTTGGGACCCCAACAAGAGGGTAAAAAAGGAGGATGGTAGGGATCGGTTCTTTTGCCACCATTCACAACTTATAAAGATTTATTTTGGGGCTTTTTGTGCTTTTATTAGAGAGACAGTGTATAGAGTTGGAAATCAGGGGGAGGGGGGGGAGAGAGAGCGAGAGCGAGAGCGAGAGAGAGGAGTGACATGCGGGGAAAGGAGCCACAGGTGGGATTCGAACCTGGGCTGCCCGCTTGAAGTTCTACAGCCTCCATACATGTGCGCTCTAACCAATGCGCCCCATCATTCTCAACTTTCGACAGTGGAAACGCCAATGAATGTGTACTGTACCAAACGGAAGTGCCTGGTGGAAACAGTCACTGAACAGGAAGTAGTGTGAACCATTCAGTTTTCTTTTAAGCTCATTGTTTTGGTTTCATTGCCCACAATCTCAGCTCTCCACTTTGTTTCCAGTAGCAACAAGTTAACGATCATTGGGTTAAAAAAAGAACATGTTACAGTTTCTGTCTCTCAGCATAAAACACAAGAGGAGCAAGCTCCCAGCATTAAGCAGCTGAAGATATCAGGATGAGAGAGACGCTCCACATGAATGCTAATGTGGTTCTCTGTCTGCAGAGTGAGAGGCATTTGTCGTCTGTCAAAGTTTCAACATTGAAAAATCAATACAAGCAGCTTCACAATAGAGATGAACTCATATGAATACAGTGCAGGAGCAGCTCTGTAAGCAGCTCTCCGCTGGTGTCAGAACATCTCTAACTTTATAACCAGTCTTATTTAATTGAACACACACACGATATCCATTGAACAAATACTGATGATTACCATTGATGGACAGATGAAAGGGCAGAGGAATTAAAGGATGAAGGGATGACAGGGACGTGAGCACAGCGATGGTAGAGAGCCACCATGCTGAACAATGCGTGTGTTATATTTAACCTGTTACATGATAACACACACAAATTTCTCTTCTAATTCCATTAGTTGTTGCATGAGATGAGATGCATGATATATTTGTGTTTGTGTAAAGCCTTATTTACAATCTTCCATGTGTGAAAGCTGCCATCAGCGTCCATGACAGATTAGCTTTCAGCCTCAAAGAAGAGAGAGAGAGAGAGCGGTCTCAGGGCACTCAGCCAATCAGCTGCAGGACTGACTGTGTGTGTGTGTATGGCATGTATGAATTCATAAGCCCCGTGTGTCTTAATCCCATTAGATGCATCCCGTACAGTACAGTATGTGATGAATCACATCAAATGGTTTTACAGGATATTATAATTGCTCCCAGTAGGTTTTCAGGTGATCACAGTCCTGAATCAGATATTACACATATTTAACAACCGCCAAGTTTTATTTTGCAGTTGGAAAGTTAAATCTATGAATCCTGATACACCTTGACTTGGCTTGAAATGTTGGCTACACTGCTCCACACAAGGAGCTTCTGATCCACCTCTGCCTTGATCAAATAGTTTGTGTTTGGTTGTTTTGCGTAAAGGAAAAATCAAGACACACACACCCCTAAGTGGGTAATGGATAAAAAAAAAAAAAAAGAAAAAAAAGTGGTATAAAGATGCAAAAAAAGATCTGCAGATTCGTCAGACTGAGGAAGAGCATGTTGGCTTGAAACGTCACACGTTAATAAAATCCTTTAAATAGGAGCTCCTCAGTGGGCTGATCGGTATTTTGTTTAACACAAATGTTGTGTTGGAGCTGGATTCATAATAACAAAGAAACTAACCGCTGGTGTTGGTTAAATGATGTTTAATAAAAAGGTCTCTCTCAGTAGGAATCTCTGACCTCTGTGTACCTTTAATTTAGACTCCAACAAATGTCAAATATATCCGTCTATGGTTAAAACAGCAGAATGGATATTTCAGGTTTAAACAATGTCAGCAGACATATTGGCCTACATTCACAAATCTCAGTTTAAGGGTCAGTGTGCTACTAATGTTTGATTCCGTGCAAATACTGTTGTTGTTTTTTTTCACAACAGGAGATTACCAGCTGACTTTAGCCCCCTGCTCTCAGCGAGTCCCGTAAGTGATTCATAAAACCGCATCAGTGCACAATGACTACAGCACAGGACCACCTGCTCGGGGCGGACACACAGCTGCTTCTAATCCTGCAGCGCAGGTTGTTCAAGTTCAGTGTGGCATGTTGAAAAAACATCTCAGGAAACAGCAGTCTACCTCTGAGTGGACTAAAATAAATTAAACTTTGAGTGGAGGACGTTTGATCAGGTTGATCATGACTTATAGACGCCGTAGCGATGGTTCAGAACTATAACATGTGGTGAATAAACGTAGAGTCCCTGAAGTCCCAAATTAAAAATCATGTTATGTTCTAAGGAAACAAGATGCTTACTTGTTTCCCCCAACTACGGCCCCATGTCCACCTAGCGCTTTTCCGCTGAGAATAAAAGCGCTGCACATCCCTTCTGTCTCTATGACAACAGCTGCTGTATGACAGACACGGCTCTGATGCAAACTGCACGTTTTGTGTTGGAGGTCATTTTTTCAGACACGGAGCAAAGAGGTTGTGCGTACAGGACCCAATTTTGTAGGGGGGCAAAATTCCGTGACTATTGTATACTTTGAAAAGAGCGCCGATGACTTCAACACCGCCTTTCTGAAAAGTTGAAATATTTTAAACTCCAAATGCTCAGAGTCGTACTGTTGTCCGGGCGATCGCCTGCTGCTGCAAACGCTCTCTCATCATTGTTTCAATTGAAAAAAGACAGTGGCACTCCTGAGTGACGTCAGCCATCTGTTCCTGCAGGGGGCGCCGGAGGCTCATCAGCAGCAGCCGCCATGCTGGAAATGCTGTCTCAGTCAGGCTGAGAGCTGGAGCTGAGGCGGGTTTTAAACCTCCTGACAAACCATTACACCGCGCCCACCTGTCAATCAGGTCAGCTACACTCCTCACTATGGAAAACAAGTATCGCTGTCAAAATCAAAACAGAAAAAAAATCACCCCCCTACAGTGTGTGCCCGTGACGACAATAACTAATCAGACCTATTTGTTTTTTGTACCAGGCTGTAAACATGTTAATTTATGTTGTAAAAACTGCTTTTTTGGTTGTGGTGTGTATGTGACTTCCTGTGTTCCTGCAGCCAGCCTCTAATGGACACTCGACTAACTGCAGGATTTTGCACTTCTGCATGGCTTTATTTTTCTAGACTAGAGGTTGCTGCCTTGAGGACAATTGACCTATCTCCTGATAATTATTTTGTGTGCATAAAATAAAAAAAAACACTATGTGGCTTCACGGGCTCCATAGTCAAACATTTAACATCAAAAATAAATAAAAGCATGTAGTCTTCATCTCAAGCAGGAGTTGAAGACTTCTGTGACTGAATAATAAAACATCAAAAATACAAACTGACCCCGTTTGCAGCGGGCTCTTTTCTTTGTTCAAAGAAGAAAGGGGACAAGAGACCCCGCTGCGTGTTTGGAACGACCTCCTTCTCAAATCTTGAACATCTCGGCCAACTCGGGTAGAACTTTCAAATAATTCCAACAAAGTTTTGTGTTGTGGTTTCAAAATAAACCCATTCTTTGTGTATTGCAAGCGGACACTTGGCTGAACAAAGCATGCTGGGTTTCTTCCCTCTTCAGGTCATTATCATGCATGTAAAGACAGCATTTGTGGACTGTTCAAAAAACGCATGGAAGTTCTGGTTTGATAAGAACGTCGCCTCATAAAGGTTGGCAGTGCAACACAAAGTGAATTTGGTCCTGGGCCCATAATCTACAACTATCAACATTAGCATAAATAAAGAGCTCAACTGGAAGCTAGCAGGAGTGCTAACTCCACATGGAGAAACAGATGGTGCTACAAAGAGCTACACAGCAGTGGTGCGTTGTAGACTTAACCAAACACGATAGAAATCATCACGCAGGAAGAAAGTTGAAACCTTTTTTCCCTCTTTGAGACCCCAAAGACTGACTGAATGAGACAAAGTGTGCAGCTTGAATAAAGGAAACTGTTAAACATGATCTTGGCCTGTTGATGGAGGAGCGCCTCATCTCAGTGTCTTCAAAACAGCGTTAGTGTTTCTTGTACTTTAATGTTGTGTGGGATAAACAAGTGATGTATTTTGGTCTTGAAAGCAGCGTCTGTGCTGCTCCCCACACACACTGAGCCCCTGCTGGCTGAGGTGAGCTGATAATTAGCAGCTCCTCCACTGATTCACAGCAGCTGCAGTTAAAGTCATCATGTGCCTGCAGGGAACAATCTCTGTTTAAACAGGGTGTAATGAAAGTACAGACACCAGAGGCACAGACGCCTGCAGCAGTCAGGCCCCGATGGGGGTCTGGATCCAGTTCCAGGTAAAAGACCATGAGGGTAAAGCGGTTCTATTGAGTCTGTTATCCCTCTTTTCACTTCATGATTGTGAGAGAAACACTCTCAGTCATACAGCTCTCAATGATGCCTCAAATAACAGATTCTATCAGTTGTCACTCCTTACTGCTGCTCAATCTTTAGTTTCAAATCTTCTTACATATTCGACTCATGTTAACTTCGTAAATTATAATTCCATTTTTAATCAGATAGACAATAAAGGGCATGCTTTAGGGCAAGCATTTTCTTCTTCAAAATGAAGATTAAATTCAGTCTATAAGTCACACAAAGGTTGCAGCCGCCACCATCACCCAATGCCCGCCACATGACGTGATTAGAAAATTCAGACAACAACGACAATAACAGAGGTTTTAGAAAAAACGACAGATTGTGGCTCTTGAAGTCATCAGACAGGGCAGCTGTTGAAACATTTTCCCCTCTGAGAGACCCCCCCAATACAGACTGCATCTTTCATACACACAGGTATAATCCAGGTTTTACGACGTTATATAGTAGTTACAGATCTTTACCAATGCATCTTGCAAACCATCCGAAGTGCTAACACGTTTGTAGTGCTTTGTAACCCTTCACACAGAGAAGTCCATCAGCAGCAACTCATCCATTTATAGACATTCACACACCAATGACGAAGCAGCAGGAGCAACTTGGGGTTAAGTGTCTTGCCCAAGGACAAATCGACATGTGGCTGCAGGAGCTGGGGATCGAACCCCTGACCATCCTGTTGGAGACAACCAACTCTACCACTGAACCCCTAACATTACCCCGTGACCCCTCTCACTCCTCTCGAGCAAATATGGAAGTGGCTCCACCCACATGGTTGTGAATGTTGAAAATGTGAACACTGAAAAATAGCATCTGATGTTATCAAAATCCAGATAACGCACGGTTCTCTTTGACTAAACTGTGACTTGAGCATTTGTAAAGATGAACTTTTTTAGATATAAAAAAGGAATCGATTCATGGACTTAACATTTGGATTTGAAACATGATTCAGAATGCATTACAGCACCTCAAATCTAGCCTCTGATAGGTCGCTCTGCTAATCTGGTTTTAAGTCTAAAATGTGGTGCTGTTCTGTTTCAGATATTTCTGCTTGAACTGGAAACTCTTGAAGGGGCACAGTGGGATGTTCCATATCAGGAGGGTCTAGAAAACAAAGATATAAAAGACAATTTGTCCCCCCCAACAGTCACTGCTTTTCAGATACTTTTTAAGTACAAGGATTTTGGGGGTGGGGCTTGAAGCACTGACTATTTCTGATTGGCCAGGTAGTATTTTAATTTAATATTGCTGTCAATTTTTTCATTGCATCTTAATTAAGTTTTACAGCAAATGTTTTCCCGATCTGCAGCTCCTCAGATTGGACTGAACTGAAAGTTCCCGGAGCCAAAGGTTCCTGGAACTTCAGGTGGAAACATACATACATGTATATATATATATATTAATATAAAAACATATTATGTACCGTCTCCCTCCTTTACTAACTCAACAGTGCAGAGCTTTAAAGTAAGCTTCAGTACCTGGCCGGCCTTCGTCCTCTCACACACATACGTCTCGTACACTGTGGCGAAGGTGGGGGCGTTGTCGTTGATGTCGAGCAGGCGGATAAAGATGGGAACATGGCTGCTCTGACGAGGATTATCTGCAAGGCAAACACAGGGAAGAGTTCATGCTGGGGAACCAAACCCCCTCTCCGCTGTCATCCACTGTCATGCTGTGAGCTGTTTCCTGGAACAGGCTCAAGCACTTCACCGCTGAGCAGCCGCTGCCTTGCTTAAGGGCGCCGCACGAGGATAAGTAAAGACGTAAATATCAAATGTGAAATATAAGAGCGAGGAAGAGAAAGGAGTAAAAGTAAGATGTTGCATAAGCATTGACATATACTTCAAGCGTTCACTTTTTTAGAGCTCCGTCATTTGCACAGCACGTCTCAGCTCAGCCCAGGAAACCAGTCAGTCCTTATTTCACACTCAAGCCTCCGACACGCCGAGCGGCTCTAATCAAAATGAACCTCACATGTTATACTGGGAGTCCTTCAGCTCAGTTTTCACTGGGAGTCATGAGTATTGTGAAATCATCAGTGTCCAGCATTGTCAGCACAGTGTGAACCAACACGACACATTGTACCTTTTTTCTCTCTGTACTACAGTGAGTGACACCTCCAGAGACCTCTAGTCCTTAACAGACCCTGATCTGTGTTTGGAAAAAATGTCCTGGATTATTTCAAAAAGGAGACTTGTGTTTCCTGTGTGTTCAGAAACTACGACGGAGCCATGTTAACATTTTTTTTTTTTTTTTTTAATTTCAAGATTAAACTCGTAAATTTACGAGAATAAAGTCGGAAATTTACGAGATTAAACTCTAAAGTTCTACTTTCATAATTTTCACACAGGCTGGTCTCGAACTCATAAATTTACGAGATTATTCTCGTAAATTTACGACTTTAATCTCAGAATTAAAAATTTTTTTACGTGGCCCTAATCCTCCATTGTAAGAAACACACACACATAATTATTTCAAAAAGATTTTATTAATCATATTAATAATGACACACACTGATAGAGAGATGTCAGAGTGTGTGTGTGTGTGTGTGTGGGGGGGGGGCCCACAGCGAGCGCTCCATAGCTGATTGCCTGATTCTTAGCCTTGCTCAAGGGCGCCTCAGCGGTGCTCAGGATGTGAACCAGCACCTCTGAAGCTACCAGACTAATTTCCAGACTTGGTCCACACCTCCGGTTCCCAACCCAGAGTCCCTACAGACTGAGCTACTGCCGCCCCGATAACATTTCAAATCAAGGTCACAATATTCGCCAATAACTAGTCAACTGTTAGCATGCTAATTATAGCGTACTGGCTGCTTATTAGCAGTGGTGATTCTAGGGGCCTGTTGGGGTCCTAGGCAAAAATGTATTGGGAGCCCTCTAACCAGCGTTCTTTATTTTATTTTTTCACTCCTTCATTGACACATTTTGGTTTTCCTCCTGGCCTGGGGCACCAAGTCGTTGCCTGCCTTGCCTATCGACATGCATTAGTCTTTAATCTTCACACCTACTTCTGGACACAGATGATAGAAATGACTCCTTTACACACGTGTTAGCCAGAGAAACCTCACCTATTGTCGCTGGAAACACATCTCTGCTTACATTTGAAAGCGTTACTGTAAAGAGCTAAAGAACAAAAATTAAAAACCTCGACTTAAATGACCTACGTGGCTACAAAGCCCTGCTCCCCTGACTGTTTCCCGCTCAGCCACTCATAGATACTATATTTAGTGTGATTGATGTGTGGTGGTAGCAGACGTTGTGTCTGGCTCCATACAGCATCAATACATCACAGTGTCTCTGTAAATAGTCCCGGCCCGGCTGCACTTACTGAACTCAGTAGCGATGACGGAGATGTTGTGCCAGGCGCTCGCTTCTCTGTCAAGACCCTGGAGCAGGAACACAGACCCGTTTCCTGGGTGGATGTTAAACAGGTGGTCCATGTCTGTGCGACGGTCAATCGAGTACCTGAGAGAAGAGAGGCAACAGGAAGGTGAGACGGGGGGCTCAAAGTGAGTCCAGAATCCCCAGACCCTGCACCAGGGAGTCACTGTGTTGGGAAAGATTACTGATGTCTCTCAACCTGTGAAGGAAAACAGAATTTGCCGAGAGAAAATAACATTATTATAAGTTAATTTACAACCATTAACTATGCTGCTTTCTGTTCCTTACAGTGCTAACATTAGCTGACACCGGGAACTTCAGCTGAACGTTACTGTGAAAAAACCACATTCGCACGCTAGACAAAGTTGTCCTGTACCGTGATTAAGCACAATTGCCCCCCGCCTCCTCATTCCCCCGCTGGCCTGCACTCACACTGCTCCAGGACTAACCGGGCCTGAGCCGGTTACCTTTTGTAAACAACGTCGTCATACAACACATTGTGGCTTTACATGATTATGAAGCGTGCTTAGTTTACAAAACAGGCGGACTCAAAAATAAAAAAGAGACGCATGATCAACAGGAGAACATGACTCAGCTACTTTACTTACTGTGTGTGAGTCATGTTATTGAGATATATGTCATGACTGGTTGAAGAAACAGGAGGTGGAACCAATTGCAGATACAAAGAAAACTAAATTTATTAAACAAAAAGCCAAAGGCAAACAAAACTCACTAATTCAAAATGTTCAACAGAAATCCAAAAGGGGAGGAGCCACGAGGAAACACTGGAAACACTGAGATAGACGGACAAACTACACTTACCGTATTTTCCGCACTATAAGGCGCACCGGATTATAAGGCGCACCTTTAATGAATGGCCTATTTTAGAACTGTTTTCATATATAGGGCGCACCGGATTATAAGGCGCATAGAATAGAACGTGTTTACAACTGAACAAAGCTGGGAGATATTGTGAATATATAAATATAAATACGTATAAAACGTAACGTATAAAACTACAAAAACAAAAGTACATAAGACGATTTCCCCAAATAATAAATTATTTCTGTGACGTTTCTCTTAACTCTCAAAACGTAGTTTTATATGTAGTGCATTCACAATAACTCAACGTTGTTCAAACGTTAATGTGCATATTCACAATATCTCCCAGCCTTGTTCAGTTGTAAACACTTAAAAGAAACACAGTCTGATACCGCTAATTCAAACGTTAGTGCAGGGGTGCCCAAACAGTCGATCGCTCTGTCTCTGTCTCTGTCTCTGTCTCTGTCTCTGTCTCTGTCTCTGTCTCTGTCTCTGTCTGTCTGGCTCTCGCTCTGGCTCTCGCTCTCTCTCTCGCTTTTAAGTGCGCCTTATAGTGCGGAAAATACGGTACAACAATGATCTGACAACATGAGGGCAGAAACACAGAGACTAAATAGACACAGGGGTAATCAGACACAGGAGAGACTAATAACACAGGTGAAGACAATGAGGGTAATCAACACTGGAGGGAAACACACAGAGGAAGGAATAAACACAAGACAAGAAACACTGAGGACAACTACAAAACTACATCATGAAACACTAAAGACACAGAACTCAAACACACTAGAACATAAAGAACACTAGGATATGAAGTTACAAAAATAACACATGAAACACTAACCTAGAAAACACACAAGGGAAAAATAAGAAACCCAATCATGTCAATACAGACAGAACAGTATGGGGTTTCTTCATCATGAAGGCCGTCCACGTTGTGTACCCGTGCTTGTGTTCGTGCATGAACTGCACCTCTTCAAAGCGGGCCAGGGCCAAGGAAGTGTACCGAGCTTGAGAAGGGATTGGAGCTCTCACACTGGTCAAACAAACTGGACTTTAGGGGTGAAGCGTGCTAAGGCAGGGTACAGAGTGCGCCCTAAGTCTCAATGTGGTCGCCTGATTTAATACATTGTAGATACACAAAAATAAATGAAATAGAAGGGTCAGATGAAATCTAATCTGTTGCAGCAGCTCTATATGTTGTGCTGTAAGGTCGTTAGTTAAAAACAAGTTAGTAACTCACCATGTACTATCGTTTAGTGAGACTGTCCTTCTCTAAAACCTTGAGGTGAACCGAAACCTAAAAAGAAGTTCAGCACCAACACTGATCTGCAGAGTTAGATAACAGCCAGCGTTTATATTGTAACAAGTCGAATCAAATGATTGTGATGGCTGGAAGCTGCTGCTTTCTGCCCTTCTCCTTTCTTTTCAATCTCACTGTAGCCTTTTCAACACATCAGAGCCACTCGAAAATCTGTTCCCCCACTGTCTGCAGACTGCTCACAGAGCAATCTCTATTTTTGAACTAGTTGCTGAATGCAGCTATTCACAGCTTCACAGCACTCCATAGATAATGGAAGTGCTGTGCCTTTGCTTTCTGCCTGTCAGAGTGGAGGCACACCGCTGTGTGAACAGGAGCTGCATGTGAACATCAGGCAGTGTTCCCGATCATGGGTCGCTTTTTACTACCACCTTGTTTAACGTCACACTATTATCAGCTCTTAATTATGCACCGTTCGGTCTTAATGATTGATTTCCATAAGGAGAGAGATGAATATGAAAGCAAATATTGTTTAAGAGCAGGAGTGCTCCATCATGATGAGAAAGCACTCAACAGTAAAAGAATTGATGAAACAGTCACAGTAACAAAGGCCCAAACACACGGGTAATTGGGATTGAGTCTGAGCGAGTGTGAGGGTGTGTGTGTGTGGGTGCCCCCTATGACACTTAATTTTAAGAGCACTCCATGCTCCCGTTCATGTTTTAATTGGAATATGTTCCTCATCAGTTGGCTGCTTTAAATGTAGAGACACACGAGCTGAGCTGAAGTCTGCTGTCACACGTCCGTTCAGCCGTCTCTCTCTGGTTCACTGCACGCTCCTCTGGCAGAACGTGGCAACACTTTTATATCATTCATATCAAAGTCCCTTACTCTCTCCTTTTTCCTTGTTGTTTTAAAACTCAAATTGGCCTTCAGGAAAGTTGAGAAAAAGTTTGAACATCCTGATCAATACCCACCGCCACAGAGCAAATTACAGAGGGCTTTAGGACTGTTATTCCGTAAACATCGGCGAAATTCCCAGGATGTTCCCGACACGTTTGAGTAATGGACAATTACCAAGAGGAGCTCAGCGGAGCTCAAACTACCCAAATGCACAGAGTCACAATAATGAAGAGTACTGCAGAGAGGCCGTTTAAATAGAGCCAGGAGGTGCAGCTCTCTTGTTGTAGATGCACTCAGCAGTTTTCACACTGATGGCTTGGTTTATCATTTTAAACACTGATTACTCTTCTCTTTCAACCTTTACCTGGACTCATATTTCTCCTCTCCTTTCACACTCCTATAGGATCTCATCGCAAGCCTAGAGAGAACTTAAGGTTCAATTACGCTCAGACTTCAGCTGAGACTTTAAAACTAAAAGTACAGGAAGTGAAGATAGGAACATTTTGAAGAATAGCAGCCCTTCACTGCAGAAACTACGGAAGCCCTTAATGGACATGCATCACTACATTTAGTGCAGATCCCCTTCCCTGTGATAAAGAGTCATTTTTGATTGTTTTCGAAAGATTTTGACTTATTTATCTCAGGATAACAATGCGGGTATTCCTTTAATAATGACTTTACTCCCCCGTCTTTTTAAGATCAGGAAAAACTAACTCGTTGTCAAAGGGAAACCAGCGTTGTTATCCCGAGATAACGAGATAAATAATTAGAGATAAAAAAAAACAACAGAAATGTTCTTGTTATCGCAGACAAAAGCATGTCTGTTCAGGGTTTCTATAGAAACCAGCTTTCTCTTTGAATGAATCCAGATGATGAAATAATTATTCTTTTAACGCTTTAAAGGAATCACATGTAATTCTGACCCCCTAGTGTTTAAAATGGGTACTGCAGTCTAAATTCTAAACATTGTAGAGAGCTGTCTCCCCCCCCCCTCTCTAGAGTCCATGCTCACTCAGGTTGCCATGTGGTGAACACTGAAGCTTCAGTGTTTATCCAGGTCTGCATGGGTCTGTAAACCTTTCTGTGTTCTAACCTCTCTCCATTTTTCAAAAGTATCTCCAATATTGATCCTAGTTTGAGCACGTTTCTGCTCGTGGAGCTTATTAGAAACATGCAGAGGCTTTTTAGGTCGGGTACAATCACTTCTATCTGAACCACTTCTCTTGCCCACTTCCATCACTGCAACACCTGTTGGTTTGACCTGATAACTGCTCTCATATCTGACAAACAGAGGGGCGTCCAAAACGGCCATGTGTGGGGGGTGTTTTAAAAGCGTCTACCTTCTCTGGTCCAAACAAATCCAGAGCATTCAGGAGCAGAATCTAAAGTTAGAAGGAGGACATACTGACTGCTGCATTGTTGTCAGAGAAGCCAGCACTTCAACAGAGCATGTTTCCTTTATGATCAGTAGTAAGTATAGTAAGATCACTTTATCATTTCACTCTCTACACATCTTACTGGTTGGACCTTTAACCTTGCGATTTTATTGGAGAGCATACATTTAAACAATAACTCTCACACGTTGAAATCAAAAGTCTGTTGATAAATCTAAATGAGCTTCCTTCTTGACTTATTTCTTTAAAAATGGTGTGTTGGATCATTTATAATGACATTGAGCCTTTGCCTTACTTGACCATGCTTCGAGCTCCGTCGGGATCCATGGCACTGACTGAGCCCACGGCCACTGCAGCGTCTCCTTCACCTCCATCAAGTAGCTGGCTTTGTCGAACAGCGGCGGCTCGTCCACGTCCTCCACGGCAATCCGAACCGTGGCCATGTCTTTGGAGCCGGCTGAGGAAAAGCGCGGGTCCAGCTGTGTGTTCTGGACCTGAATCTCCACTGTGTAAGACGGCTTCTTCTCAAAGTCCAAAGGCTGCAGAATCACAGAGACAAGCAGGAGAGACTGAAGACCAGAGCTGTGTATGAAGGTGAAACCAAAACCAGACCTGCATCAAGAAGACCTTACATTAAGGTTCTTTAACACATTCCTGCATCTCCCTCTATCCCATGGTTCAAACCCCAGCTCAGGTTCAGCAGATGGCTGAGTCATCATGAGTCTGGTCCTGCCCACAATTTCTGCCTCTTAAAGGAAGTTTTTTCTTTCCACTGTAACTTTGCTAAATGTTGCTAAGTGCTCATGATGGATTAACGTCTGTTTTTTAAAATATAGCAATGAAAACGGTCTTTTACCTGCTGTTTGTAAAGTGTCTTGAGATAAAATGAGTTATGAATTGGCACTTCACAAATAAAGACTGATGGATTGATACTTCTTTTCATGGGAGTTGTTTTTCTAATCGTTTGATGGATTTCTTAACTAGAAACAGACGTGTCGTTTCTTTCTTAAAACCTATCAAACCTCTATTTTCCATAAAAGTATTTCGACCATTAAACGGGAGAGTATGTTGAGTATTTAGAACAAACAGAGTTTTATTTTTTCACAACAAAAGCTCAGACGGATGACTCATGTTTGTAATAATGGTTAAAGACATTTAGTGCAGCAGCAGAACTTAGTTTTATGTTTGGGGTCTCATAATGATGAGATAACATCTTAAACCCCCTCGTTCAGATCCTGTAGCAATGACAGAACAGAGCGTAAGACCAGAAACCTAGCAGCTGAATATTGGCAGTAGGACTGGGTGATATGACCTCAAATCAATATCACGATTAATTGAACATTTGACCTCGATTACAAGTAATGAACAATATATATTTTTTTGTTTTAAGCCCTCATAGTTCACTGACGAGGTCTCTACTGTAAATATGCTCATCTATTAAAGCTGGGATATGTTTTCTAAGGACAGAGTGCATATCTGATGAACTATTTTGTGGTTATTTACTGAATATTTCAAACTGAAATCAAAGCATCGCTTGAAATGAAAACGACACATTTTAGTTTTAAAGTAGAAATTAACTTCTCTAAAACATGTCACTGGAAAACAAAAATTGGATTGGAAACATTTGCCACAGATGAAGAAAAGAAACCATTTAAAGATGTAAGTATAGTTAGCATCCTTACTCAGTTTGACTTGTTTGCTTCACTATTATTTTGTATTTTGATATGCAGGACTTTTAATCCATGCATTGAACAGTGAGCTTTGATACAGCACATACATGAAGAAGATGCAGCAGCAGGTTTGATGCAAACTCCTGGTTATCATTTAATGCAGAGAGGGATTGATTTCACGTATGATTTCATGTGAGGAGGATCTGTGTACAGTAAGAACATGTCTGTATCGTTTGAAGCTGCTGTCTGTCTGAATGAAAAGAACAGAACATGCTATAACAGGGAAACTCTAACATGAAACTAAGCTGCTGACGGATCCAATCTGATGATAAATGATGATAGTTCTTCCAAAGTGAACGCGCTGATGAAGTCTGTTTCTTCCACAATAATGCAACAAAAGCTCCAGATTTCCTCCAGCAGCTCCACCTGTGCTGTCTACGCTTCTTTTAAAGAATCCCGCAGATTCTCTTCGGCTCGACTCCAGCTGACAAAATATCATTACTTCTTTGTCAAAGCTTCCAGACATGAACAAAGGAGTTTCTAAATATCACTTGTGATTCCACATCAGTAAACAGACACTCTGCGAGGACACTGTGATTCATTTTTCAGAATCCAGCAGCATAAAAAGCTTCAGTCCTGCGTATTAGCGGCTGCTGCAGAGGCTGGGACGGGGGGATGTGAAGGTAAAGATGAATAAGTTTAATTTGGTTTCTTTCATCTGTCAAGCATGCCCAGGCTTTGCATATTTAACAGTATGTGCAAAACAGACTACGTGGGCAGGGTCCTTATGAGTAGAAAGTGTGGGATCTGCTGAATCACAGCTTTAGAATTAATTTGGTTTTTACCAAAGCGGTGAGAGGAATATCAAGATAATTAACAGACAGGCTCATCTGAAGGTGTGCTTCAGATTTCCCCTTACGTACCACACATGTAGTCAGACTTTACAAACGCTGGAAGTTACCTCTGCTGTTCATTTGACCTGCTTATAGCTTTCTATCATGTTGATATGCACCATGTAGAGATTTAGTTTGTTAAGTTTTTAAATGTGGTTCACACTCTGAGCCCGCAGTGAAGTCCTTCTCCGTCTCACCTTGCTGACGGTGATGACGCCTTCCTGAGTGTCTTTGTCGGTAGAGATGTCGAACATGTCCATGCCGTCTCCGCTGACGATGGTGAAGTACATCTCAGCGTTCTTCCCGATGTCTCTGTCGGTAGCTTTGATCCTCCCAACTGGAGTACCAGACTTGGACGACTCAAAGGCTCTGAACTGGTAAATTCCTGAAAACACAGACAGAAATGGTAAATGGATTTCTTTTCTTGTCTACTCAGAGCGCTTTTACACCGCAGGTCACACCTGCATGTGTATGAATGGATTAATTACTTCTGATGGACACTTTACCCAGCAGCCTCTACCATGGCATCATTCTGAGCAAAGTCGTCAACAAGCACCATCATTCAACAAAGCTGGTGTTACAGAATCAACGAAGCCTTTCATACACTCAAAGACTTTTAAGAGACGAACGTCTGACATCTTCTCACAGTTGAAGACGAGGTGTCAGCAACTCAGACATTTGAATCACAGCCTAAGATTTTGCAAAGACTGGGGATCCTGCAGGGTAAGAAACTGCAGGATGACAACTAGATTCCCATCATGCACCTGGTGGATATTTACAACTACAACTTTAAAGCAGAAAACTTCTGTGACGTGGCCTCCTCTTTACATCTCGAGGGAGTAAAGGTCGTCACAAGGTTTCATCACCTGTGAGTATGCTACTAGCTATTACCTATAGTTAACATAGGGCTGCAGCAATTTCTGTCCACCGTTTTCCCCTCCCAACTCCGGTGTGGTACAAAGAGGAGGACATGTCAGAGGGTCATCTCCACCAGTTTCTTCTCCTTTTCCAAAGTCAGGAGAGCCGCACGTAACTTCACCTCCACCATGTTTGGTGCTGCCAGTGACACCGCTCCTATTGGTCGTTGACAATGGTCAAATCACTAAACAACACAATTTGCATCAGACAAGACTAAAGACCTGTGATCACATCAAGACATGTTTGGTTTAATCCTAACACCAAGTGGAGAAACAGACCGCCTTAAAGCAAACGAGTGGAACACACACCTACTCAAGCAAAACTCTCATGATTTTTGAAATGGGTCCAAGACTTTGAAAAAGCTTGAAATGCCCTTGGGGTCGTGCATAATTCATGCTTCTTTAACTTGACTTCTCGTCTTGGCCTTTATGTGTGTCGAAAACTGGCAATGGAACTGAGGACTGACCATGTGCATGAGCGTTAGGGACAAGGCGGCATTTATGCCGTCTCGATTATTTGTGCATATTTATTCAAAGCATGGCGAACAGTCGAATGTCAAACTACGCCTGCACTCTTCTGCATCTTGAGAAGAAGAAATCAAACTAAAGGACTGCAGAGTTGTTAGGCCAAGCCCTCTGTGTTCTGTGATGTTTCTCCGCTGAGTCTGGTGGCTTTGAAGAGAGTGATGTAAAAGGCCGTTTCTGGTTTGAAAAAAGATAAACACCCAACACCATATAAAGCTTCTATTTCTGTAAGGGTCCTTCTGTAAGGTTGTCAGACTCTCAACATAACAGTCTGAGCCTGTCAGAGGGAAAAACAAACATCTTTTAGAGGACGTACTTTGATTGGGCCAAATTGCCTCTGAAGACTGCTTACGGCCTGTTTAACTACCGCCGGCTGAAGACATCTGCTGCAGCCATTCTAAAAGTTTTTGTACTTCTAATTTACAATGTCTACCTTCTGATAAAACCTTCTTCCCTGAGAGGACTGCAAGTGTCTGGAAGGCTAGCTTTGTGATCCTGGAGGCTGCTGTGATGGAGTTTAATCCTCTCTGATTTATATTCTTGCCTCTTTTATTTTGAATATGTGCTAATGTCTGACTGTGTCACTGATCCTCTGCCTTGTAATCTGCTCGTCGCTGCCTTTTAACCCTCAGAGGGGGCTTTATCTCCTCTAATACTTCTCATGGTTCCTACTGATTCTCCTGTCCACATTTCTTTTGGGGGTTATTCACTCAGTGGTCCGGTGTTTGTGTTTCTTTGTTAGTTACCTGAGAGAGCACTGGGATTAAGAGCTGCACAAGCAGACCTGACTAAACATAAAGCCCAAACATCACCAGACTGACTCAACTAGTCCTGAATCATAAACCCTCTCCTTCATGTTAGTCAGCGATGGAGCAGGTGAACTCTCTGTAAGCGTGAATCAGAGAAAATCAAATCTTTCTTAAAGAGTCATATGACAGCATAACTGCTGAACCAAGAACCATCTCTGTGTTGTTGTAAAAACTTCATAACCAAGAAGAAGACAGGCAGACGGCAGGAACAAAAGGAGCAGAAACAAAGTCGTGTAAATGCTGATGGAAGCGCGGCGCCAAGACAATGTCTCCCCTCCCCACTGCTGACTATCATTAAAAAAGACATTTCAATGTATTTTGTTTAAGTGTGATTCCTTTTGTTCTCTGGAATAAGTGCTAGCTCTGAGGTTTGTCATCAGAAACGATGAGGCCTGTGCTAAGACTTCAGTCAGCTTGTTTGAGTCCCTGAAAGACGACGGTATGAATTCAGATGAGACATCATTCTGCTATCTGGACCTGAGGCTGCTTCACATCAACCCACTTCCCTTCTCCAGGATGTGTGGGATGAAGTGTACACAAACACATGCACACACAAATCAAGAGGTGTACATAAGCCACTTAAGTGTGTAATCATTTGCCACTGTGACACAGCAGGGGTCGTACTCCCTGGAAGCTACACACTGCTCAACCTGCCACTGTTTTGGTAAATCTATCAGGGTGTGTGTGTCTGTGTGTGTGTGTGTGTGTGTGTGTGTGTGTGTGTGTGTGTGTGTAGTTCTCAGTACAGGTATGTGTTCATGTAACTCCACGCCTTGTTCTGAGGCATTACAAACATAACGTTAAGATCGATTCTAAAATGAACGTAGTCCCAGAGGAGAACATTCCCAGGTCGTCTAATAATTCATTCAATCATTTGACACTTCACAGACGATTTAAACCAGGTCCCCACCACACTGAGTTTTTAGAGTACGTTACCATGGTGATCTAGCTGGGTTAAATGAAAGCCAACTTAGTGACACAAAAAAAAACTCTGACTATCGGCTCAACAAACAAACAAACAAACAAATAAAACCACACCAACATTTCAAACTAACAAATTTAAAATCAAATAATTTCAAATCAAATCAAACAAACAAACCAGACCACAAACATTTTTCTCTGTTTATGATTTTGTCTCACACGTCTCTTTAAACCTCAAAACCAGCCTGAAGCTGACTTCAGGAAACCTGACTGAGCCTGACCACTCACACCGAGCTGAGCTTAAGACCCCATGCGCCTTCTCCTCCAGGCGGCTGCTTTCTGCTGAGAACGCTCTCTACACATTCAACAATTGGAAAAAGGATGCTGGCGCTCAGAAAAAACGCTAGGTGGCCACGAGGAAGAGGCCAAACCAGACAAACAAACCTACTGAAGGAGACTTTTCTTTAAGCTGTAGCAGCAGAGTCCATGCTACACTGACCTAACAGTTCATGCTTTGAATCTTATTAAAATCATTGAAATAATGAAAACTAAAAAGATTTGGTAAATAATAATAACCAGCATAATTAGAATGATTAAAGTCAGGAAGGTTTCCTGATTGGTGTCAGCATGAGGTGACGGTTCAAGAGGCCAGCAGAAACATTTTAATTACACTTTAAAGAAAGAGTGATTGAAGGTGTTCAGAACTCAGCCGACACCTTCACATGTCGCTGTCTCTGATGGTTCCCTTTAAAGACCGGAGCACTGCAAACACACTGCATGTGCACACATTCTGAGCGGTTTCTTTCTACTATTCTAATACTTTTTGGGTAGTCGATTCACACACCTATCTCGAGAAAAATAATGCAAAAAACATGTGGGAGAGCCCAGAGGTACGCACAGAGAGGAGCAGCACATTTCATTTTCTCTCCCTTTTCTTTCTGGCTGGTTGGAGATTGTGTTGCCTCTTGGCTCTGACACCAAGAGCACTGATTGGAGTCCTGCTGTGAACTGAAATGAATTGACATGTGCCGGCCAAGGTTTGTGTGACTGGTGTGTGTGTGTGTGTGTGTCTGTGTGTGTGTACCCTTATCAGACTCAGTTTGGGTTTGCAAATTGGAAATATAAAGTATATAACAGATGAACTGTCCTCACAGAGGCAGAAACTCAAGTGTGTGTGTGTGTGTGTGTGTGTGTGTGTGTGTGTGTGTGTGTGTGTGCGCGTGTGCGTTAGTGTGTTAATTGTGGTGACTTTAACAGAATGATAATGCCACATGCAATCTGTTCAGAGACCTGAGGCTGATCTTGTTCTGCACTCTGAACAACAGAAGGAAACAGTGGGTGAGTGGGTGCTAATGCCGGGCGAGGAGGAGGGAGCCGCTGATACGGTGGCTGTGATCGAACGAGGCAGAGATGGAGAGAGCGAGGAGGGAAAAACAATTAGAAGGCTGAGAGCGGCAGGGAGGAAGTCCTGTCTTCATGTCAGTTCACCAGGATTAGACGGGAGAATGAGTGATGAGATCAAGGCCAACAGAGCAGCAATTTACTTACTACTTGTACACTGCTACAGGCACTGAAACACACACACACACACACACACACACACACACACACACACACACACACACACACGCTTCCATTTGCCATCACGGCCTCCTGATGAAAAGCCGCCATGTATGCAGCAGCAGCTGTTGCCATGTTCAAACTGTTCGACTGCCAGAAAGCATTGACTCCTCTGAGATCGACACAGAAACAAACGGGTTGTGACAGATGTAAGAGCTGTTGAGTCACAGTAACAGCAATGACATGTCGTCTTGGCAACTCAGAACAATGACAACGCCACCATTTTTTTGTAGTTCTTTGAAAGCGTCTTCCCCATCATGGATGTAAAAAAACATTAGAAGGTCATGTTGGTGTTATTATTTCAGCTTCTGATGAAAACATGAACACGGGCATGAAGAACGTCTGGTAAAGTCAGAGTTAAGAGTGGATCAGGAGGTTAGTGTCGATGTCAAACGAATGAATCCAACACTACATGCCTGTTCACTTCCCACTGAGCCCTGAAGAGGCTGTGGTATCTGAATATTACTGATGTTATGAACATCCAGTGTTCCCCACACACACAAGGCCTCCACCCAGCTACATGAAACTCTGTTAAGGAAGCACATAACATGACTAACTAGAGCAAACCTTGCTCTGCCCCTCCCACTACTGTG